CATCCTTAGATTCATCCCAGGTTCCTGACAAGGACACAGCTTCCAGCTTCTTGCCCACAGAAAGGCAAAGCCTCATGTGCTAGAGCTGTGCATGGGGGAGTTTGGTAGCAGAGACCTATCATGAAGCAGCAGCTACAGATCTCTTCCAGCAGGGCTTCCATTGAGCATCCCACCAACCTACAGGTGGGAGAAGGAAGGAAGCACCCACACTGAAGCTTTTATCTTAGACTATTGTGCTGTCAAGCCCTTTAAGTTAATAAGGCAACAAAAACTACAGGGTTGATAGAACCTTTGCCACATTCACAAAGACAGCAAGGTAAAATTGTGAATCAGTTGAGTAACGCAGGAATAAGGGAGGAACACCAGCCACCAGAACAGCAACAGATGGCTGCATAGCACTGCTCTCATACAGCGTTCAGCTGCCAAATGTAGGTACTGAAGTCCAGGTCAGTAGAGCATGATCTCACATTCCTTGGTATGACTCATTTGTATCCCCATCGCAGAGGCTAACAGTTGTAAATCCAACACTAATGCAACCTCAGAAGGTATTATTCAGCCTGGGCTTCCCCAGCATTTCTTTACTCCTCTCTTCCCCACCCCAGCTGAGCCCCTCATGTCTGCTCTGTTTAACACCCTTGCTATGCACACAGTGTTTGGGTCCATCTGTGAATTGGGGCTTCATGTTACCAAGGAAATCCATAGCAGAAGGAAAATGAATCAATCTATGTTAATATCCTACATAGCATACCAGCCTTTTGCAGTTCAGAGCTTTGTGGGTCTGTAGGAAATGCATCTATTTAGTATGGAGTTCATGGCAGAAATAATGTGAAGTAAGAACACCAGAGGCAATATTTTTTTTTTCCTTTGAAGGTGAAGAAAATGTTATCCACAGAACTGTGCAAAGATGCACAGTGAAAGAGGGGCCTAATAGTTATTCATAGTATATCATTAAATGTCCTCACAAGGTCACACAGTTATGGAGCCACTTGGCTGAGAAAAAACAAGCAGTCAACCCTAGAAACATACGTGGGATATGACACCAGAATCACAGGATTCAGGGAGCTGCTCTCATCCTCCCACCTTGAGAAGCAACTCCGTGCTTCTGACCACCTATTAATAAAAAAAAAAAAGCAACAACTCTTCCACCCCAGCTCTGCAGCAAGGACTCCAATCAGGAATCCAGGCTTTTCTGCCAGCTGAAAAGGATGGGGTGTGATCCTTCTCATTTACAGTGGTGTGGGAAAGCAGAGACTAACAGGGAAAAGCAACTGCAGAAAGCAGCAATAAAAGAAATGAGTGAGGCTCGTGAATTTGGTCCACTGACCTCAGGGAAGTAGCTGCCTCTCAACAGTGGTATCAGCAAAACAGAAGGCTAGGCTTCTGTGGCCTTCCTGTTTGGAACCTGGTCTGCAAAGTGTACAGGACAGGAACAGGAAAGATGGAAGGGCACTTCTATCTCAGAAAGGCACATATACACGTGCTGCTCCAGCAGAGAATGCCACATCACAGCCTCACTGTTTGTATTAACACCAGAATAATTAGAGCAGTCACTGTTAACTAGCTAACAACTTCACCACATACTCTGAATAGCATTGAAGAATTAATTACAACACTTCAGAGCCTTCCCAGAATGCAGCCAGTGATCTACAGAAAACACTGAAACCAGCCCAGAGACAAACAGGCTAAATTAATCCCAAATGGCTTCTGGAAAAAACCACACAACTCTCTCTGAGGTACTCACTCTAAAATAATGCCTGTCCAGGGCAGCAACCCAACAGAAACAAGTCCTCAGCAAACCACACCTTTATCACAAGGCATGACTCAGCTCACGAGCTGGTTGCCATCAGAAAATAAAATATAGGGATTTATTTTCAGCCAGGTTCACTCCCAAACCAGCAAGTTTCCAGGATGAGAAGCTCTCAGCTGCCATGGGACAGCTTTCCCTTTCAACTGCAAGTCTCAACTCACAAAGACGCTGTGTCCTCAAAAGGTTTCGACCTTTCAAGAGAACTTCCCCATCCAGGGACACAAGCACATAGAAGCAGTGAAATCATTCTCCAGTGTCACATATTTGACACTTATGACAAATATTTATACTTCTCCATCTGTTTCTGTCCCTATTACTTATGCCAAATATAAAATTGAAGCCTGAAATTGAGTACAAAAGTTTCTGAAGACTTAACCCACTCTAAGAAACATTACCAGCAAGTTCAGCAAATCCCTAAGCAAATTAGAACTACAGCTAAGCAGTGTTTGACTACACCCTGTCATTAATGATAAACTTTGTCTGATGACCATATTTGTGTAGGTTACAGGAAAAAAAAAAAATGAAAAGCAGCACCTCAATAGCTGGAAAATAGGAAAGGCAGAGTCAAATTCCCAGATGGTTTTGCGGGCTTTTTTGGGGTTTTTTTTTTTTTTTTTGATAGCCTGGAGTTTAATCCTGGGAAATAAGTTACACTTGTTCATTTGTGGCAGCCCTAGAAGTAAGGCACAAGCTTTCCCTAGGAACCCTAGGGGACCCCCTTGCTTTGCCACAGCTTCTGTTTCACCTTCAAACAAACAAATCTGCAATTCCGGTCTAGTGTGTATGTCCCTAACTAAACACATTTTTTTTATGATCAAGGACAATCCTTAAAGACACCACTTGTGTGTCTTTAATATAATTACACAAGTCTGAAAAACAGAGTTTCTGGAGAGATAGAGAAAGGTATGCATACCACCTTACACCTCACCAGCAGCCACAGATCAACAGCCACTCTCCCACACATCTATGATATTTCTTCCCATTTTTATCTTCCAGCCAATTTACAGTTATCTTCTCTTAAGCACTTCAGACAGTTTTTTCCAAGCACATCAAGCTTAACCACTGTCTTAATTAAAACCACATGCTTAATTACATTATTTGATATCATTCATACATCCACTGTACGCAGCACTTTGATGCTTTATCATAAAGATTACTAACTACTTCAGATCTGCCACAAATGACTGAGTTATGTCAGCAATTGCTTCTGTGCACTTCAATCCTCCTCACTGCTTTTACAGTTTAACTGCCTGTTAGATGACTGGGTCACCTACCTGCTCAGACACTTGCTAGAGGATGTCACTTGCTTTGAGAAGCTAGTGACATAAAATGATTCCATATCAGAGAAGAGGAATTTAAAGCTATGAAGAAAAAAGCTCAGTAGAACCTGAACTTGAAGAACTTGGTGAAGACTGTCTGTCTACCTTTCCTGAGATGCATTTGCTTTCTTATTTTTAAGGCATAAACCAGTAACATTTAACCTTTTTAACATTAATATCTAATTTAAATCACATGCAACCCAGGCCTTGCTTTTGGCAAGTAGCTGATGTGTAACTCACCTCCTCACTGGCCCTCAGTTAACTTGCTGCACTGCCTGCCTTCTCCAACTGCCAAACTTCAGCAGCAGGGCAGGGCTGGGCAGCAGCCAGCATCTGCCAGAGCACAAGTTAGAGGACAGTGCAAAGTCACCTAGAAGCAGCATTTGCTCACTTTCCTTCACACAGGTGTCAAAGAAGAGCTGCTACTCAATGCAACCTTTGCTACTGACCTCAAGCAAGCCATTTTCCCCTCCCATCATTTGTCTCCTTACACTGCCTGCATGCACAGCATCAGCACAGAGCCCCAAAAGGGAACCGCATCCTCCCCATAAGCAGAAACTGCCTCCTCCCCCCACATCAGTGTTTGTTGGTGCTTTGAGATCAGCTGAACAGACCCATCTACCCTCCTGCTCATCAGCTACCTGCACTTCAGCAATGGGCAGGCTCTCCCCAGACATCTTCTCAAGGCAGAGTAATTGCACATATTGATTTCAGATTTATCAAGCAAACTGCCTTCCATAACTCCAACATGGACACTAACCCGACTGTGAGCTCCCCACTAACACACATCCCTTCCACTCCAGTACTGCAGCATGCCCTGATTTGCACCAGATTTCTCCTCTCAGCCAGAGACATACTCTGGAGACCCAGAAGCCATCTAGCTCCCCCAGCTTTTATGGTAGCTTTTCCTGAAGCTGCCTTTTCCTACTCCAGGTTCACAGGGCATCTGTAAAGGCTCTAAGATCAGCACTGATACTGCATTGAGATGTGGCTTGCAGACTGGACCATTCCTTCCACAGTTAAAGAAAGGCTGGCACAAACAACGGGGTTAATACAACGTTCAGTAACTTCAGGAAGCAAACACCAGCAAAAGACAGTACTCTGGCAAGCAGACTCTCAGCTGAAGCATTGAGTAGCAAGCTCAGCATAGTGCCACTTCTTCAAACCCAGCCAATGTCTAAACCACATAAGATCCAGTGGTGACTGCTACTCAAACAGCACTTCTTCACAGCAACCAGAACGTTGCTATGCTGCCCTTTTAAACATTTTGCCTGCTGCAGCAGGACCGGAATTACACCAGGACTGGCAGCAGCTATCCAACTGCAAGGAAGACCATTGCCCACACATGGTTTGAGAGAGAAAGTATCTATCTTCAACAGCATCCATCATAGGGCTGTAGTAGTGCACTGTGAATGGAAGAGAAAAAAAATATTTTTCCAATGCCTGGGCCAGCACTACAGTCAGGTCTGCATGACCTGGGACTCATAGGGTCTGCAGTATTCCCCCACTTTCCCCTGTCCAGTTCCATCAGCTGATGATTTGATTAAAAAAATAAAACCTTGCACACAGATGACTCTTACTGCTCCCCACCCAAAACCTCCCATCCCTTTATGCAGAGAAATTAGTCAGACTGCACATAAACAAATTGTCTGCAGTGTAACCAGTGACACACTGAGTAGAAACAAGGACTGGTTTTATACGTGGTATATAATTTATCACTGAAGGCAAACACCCCATAACTTTCTTGAGACACGTTGAGTCCCTTAAGGAACTCCTCCTCACAGCATAGCAAGATGCTTTCCCTCTTAGAAGATGTAAGGACTTTGGCTGAGATTTGTACGCACACAAGCAGGATTCAGCATCCTTGTACTCACCAAGCTGGCAGCTGCAGGGTGGCACACAATCAAGCAGGGACCCTTCTGCTGTTCTCTCATCTGTACCTATAAAAGAAAGAACCTGAGACTCTTCCTTTGATCTGCAGCAGTGTTTCATTCATAGATCCAGGAACATGATAACATTTTATTAGTTTAAAGTAGAAGATACAAAGCTTCTGTGGGAAGAGGAGGCAAGCCCTGTATTGCAGGCTGACCAGCTGCCCACTGCAGACACCTCTCAAGAGCCCCAGAGAAACTCCACAATCCTTCCCAGCAAAGAAAAGCTGGTCTTTGAGAACCAGTTAGTGCAAGAATCTTGTGCCAGGCAAAGACAACCAGCACTTCAAGAACACTTCATTAGAAGCATTGGCTCGGAAACCTATGGCAGAAGTTAGGTTCAAACAATGTGCAGCACATCATTACTCACTAGGGCAGTACTGGGGCAGACAAGAACTCAGGACACCAGGTCCTCTCACAGTTGAGCTCCAGAAGAGACTGGATAAACTCAGAGAGCAAGCTCAGCCCGCTCTCTTCATAGGAGGATGGCCAAGGTGCCATCCTATGAACACATACCACAACTCGTATCAACTCCAAGCACACCAACTCCAGCCACTGAAACTTATTCCAAAAAGCAAGGAGAAGAAATAGCTGGAGACAGGTCCAGAACAGAAGCACTCCAGGCAGCAAACAAGGCAACCCCACTCAGCACCTACTGAAGCTTAAAGCCCAGCTCTCACATTGCATTCATAACACGCCTGAACTCCTCGCTGGAACGATAAGAGGCCAGTGCTGACGCTCCTGGTTGCTAAGATCTGGCCTTCTTCAGGAAAGAACCAAAGGAGCACACTGAGGAAAGCAAATTCCTGCTGTGCCTGGGGACGGTGCAGCACTGTACCACAAACCAGCACTCTGCCTTCGGGCTTCCCCTGCCAGCAACAGAGATAACAACTCCCTTCTTGCTTCACCCAGCTCCAAAAGCAGCGCTTCAAAGGCAGCCCGCGTCAGACAGCACAACACACCGAGACTGCCGCAAGTTGACACCTTATCGGGAGCGGCAGCGAGAGCCGCATTGGGAATCGCGGAGCCTGTTGGAAAGGAAGCAGTTTCCCACCGCGGACACACCGCTCACAACCCGGCTTTCGGAAGGATTTCCCCCCCCCCCCCCGTTTATTCCACACACCCGGAGCCCCAACCGCCGCTCCCATCACAGCCCCGGGACGCCGCGGACTGACGCGGCCCCGCATTGCCCCCAGGCTCCTCACGCAGCGCGGCCTACGAGGCCGGTGAAGACGGACCCCGGCTGAGGCGACGGACGCAGAGAGGCTCCGGGCGCGCTCCCGCCCTTCACCGCCCGCTCACCTGCCCTCGGCCGCGCGCCGCTCCGCTCCAACGTGCCGCCGTTTGCAGCGCCCGGACAAACTCCCCGGCACGCGCCCTATCAGAGCGCGCCGCCCCTCGGCCGGCCGGCCGCCCTCCATTGGCCGCGCGGGATCGGAGCCCCCCGCCCGCCGCCTGTAAATAACCGCCCGCGCGCGCGCTCCTATTGGCTCGCGGCGGCCGCTCCTCTCGCGGCGGCCGTTGGCCGTGAGGTGAGGCGAGGCTGCGCCCGGTGCGCTGCGGCGGTTGTGAGGGAAGACCCTGTTTTTGGAGGGGGCATTTGTCCGTATTGTAAAAACAACAAGCACACCTGAGGCTGCGGGGTGAAAACACGGGGGTTTTGGCTATTTAGCTTGGTGAAGTGTAGCTGGTAGCCCAGCGCTGCTATGGAGCAGAGGTCTGCTGCGGGCAGGGAGCCGTTTCAGGCTGTGAGGGACAGACAGTGTAGGGATCGCGGAGTCCTAGAGGATCCCAGGTTGGAGGGGATGATCAATTCCAACCCCCTGACAGTGTGAGGGATGGACTGAGCAAGTACGTGTGGCTGCTGGCTTGATTATTAAAGAATTCTTGCATCCAGCTAAATGATTCCTATATTAGAAACCTAGGAAGGATCATCAGAGAGAAAACCCAGAGGAGAACATTCTCCACGAATCAGAAACATTGGGGCAGAGAAGAACTCGGATCTGGTGAAAGCAATGTGATGTTAACGAGAGGGAGGTTGGTACAGCCTGCTAATTCTGGTTTTTACTATTAGCAGTTTAATTTTTAGTCCCTTTCAAATACAAATGGTGCATTGAGGGCATGGCTTCTGAAGGGACTCAGCTGGATTTTCACCGTTGGATAATTTATCTGCCCTTCCAGGTCACATTTGATCTCTGCTGAAGGCAGCAAAGCTGCTGTGGAGAGGCATCCTTGTAGCAATTTTGGGTCCAGAAGTGGCTTAGGTCTGTGTTCATGGTGCCACATCCTTTGAGGAAGGCAGCAGTTTCAGGATCACATTGAAGAATGCTCTCATTCCCTCAGAGCCTTGGGTTTGTCTTTGCACCAAGGCAGGGCTGGTTGCCTGTGGAGCAGGCAGCTTGAGGACACAGCATCGCTGGCTTCACACCAACTCAAACAAAGGCAAGGAGAAATCAGTACAAATCCTGGCACCACCTCTACTGCTCGTTGTCAATTCTCATTCTAATTCAGCTAGAAGCACACACACAAAAAATAAGGTCTGTGCAGCAGTGGCACCCATCTCATCTCCATGGTCCATAGCACAGGTCCCTGCATGCACAGTTATGCAGTTGGGTTTCAAATCCCTGGCGTCCTTCTCTGAAAGATCCAAATGTATAAATATAAAAGCCCCATTTCACAGGGACATCCTGAATAACCAGCAGGGTCTTGCTCATACAGGTACAGCTTAGTTTTTCTCCAGCAAGGAAACGTTCAACTTCCAGTTCTTTTTGCCATAACTGTTGCCAAGAAACGTTTTCAGGGGCTTCAGAAATCATTTGGAATGCTTCACTGTGAACTTTGACATGCCCAGAAGATGACTAAGAAGTGCTGAAGGTTGTCCCCTAAAGACCTGTCTCCTTTAGCATCAGTCACTTTAATGAAACAGTGACACTTGAAACAGTCTTAGCACCATCACCAGGGTTTGAAACTTTTGCCTCAGGCAATGGCACTTGTCCCAGTGTAATAACTTGGGTAACAATCCTCTGTCACAAGCTGCTATTTCTCCCAGAAAACAAAACCCATGTGCCTCAGTTTCCTCTTTCACAACACATAAGTGGTTGCACTACAAAGCACCAGTGACCAGTTCAGAGAGTCCCAAATAACGTTTAACTGATGCTTCTACCATGAAGGCTGTAAGAAGGTTAAAATAAGGCTTTGCTATTCTGTTCACTAATGGTTGGGTGTAGAATGGTCAGTAATGAGTATTTCCCATACACCTGGGTTCAAGGACTGCTGGTTAACCTGTCCCTGATTTATAGTCACCCAAGGGAGGCTTCACATTTTCCCAGGCATTTCCCAGGTGTGTTTGGTAGAAAAGAGTTGAAGCCACCTTTTCTTTAAGAACAACATGGGCCATGACTCTTTGTGGTGCCATAAAGCAGAGCAGAGCTGTGCTGAGTGCTGCCAGCTGGAGTGGTCCCTGTTCACCAGCACTGAGGAGCTGCTCCATTGACTTCATGGCTGCTATATTCAGAATCCACTTGCCCACTTTTGACTTTTATGATTTCTAAAATTAGCCAATAAAGCAATTAGAAATAGATAACAGGAGGAGAGAGGGCTTCACCAGTGAAAGAAAATAGCATGGCATAATTTGGAGCTGGCAGCAACGAAAATGAGCTGTACCAACCTACTGCCACTGGGAGTACGACTGCAGGCACAGCTGCAGATGTCTAACGTGGTAATGGCAGAGAGGGACCTTTCCCCACGCAGTACAATCTGGCCTGTTAGGACAGAAAGAAATAAAACCATCACTGAGTGCTGGGAGGACATAAATGTTGCTGTCAATCCTGAGGATATATCCAGCTGAATGTCAAGAGAGGAAGGGAATGAGTGTAACCAGAAAATTTCAAGCTGGAGAACTGGGTTAAATATAAAAGGGAGTGCCAAAGAAGGAATGAGCGAGTTCAGAGACAGGAGAGATCGTACGGGAAAAAGGTCATCTCTTTTTCAGCATTACTCGTTCTTAATTTGCATTGTTATGGTGTATAGAAGCACCAGGTGGAAATGGTGGCCTCATTGTGCTGGGAATTGTGTGCAAACATAATGATCAAATGTTGCCAGCTCTGCAGAGGCTGAAATATCATTCCCCATCTCTGCAGAATCACTAACCAGTATAATTATTGCAGAATAAGTTTTTCTGCAATCGCTCTTCTGGAATATCTGTACCATTTGATTTATTCCACAGTAACCAAGCCTGAGGGGAAGAAAAGATACATTCATTTCAGCTCCCACCTGGTGACTTTCACCACCAGTAATAACCGCTCAGGGGCAGAATCTGCACCTGCATCTTCACCCACATTCACAAATTGTTTGTGCCTCAGTTTCCTTTTTGCATGGAGATAGCACTGCGCTCCTGGCTCACTCCCCTCAGAACAGCCATGATAGGTGCAGGAGTGCTGCCCTGGCTACACTATACTGGCAGTGTCGTGCACAAGGGCTTGTTGGTCCTGTTAGTAATGATTAGAGAATAGCTAGAGAACATATTTTTTCTTTTGTGTTTTCCGTCTGAAAGGGCTGGAGACAGCATTTAATTGTTGAAGAGTTACTTTTCTATTAGCAAGTGGATGTGGACAAGCAGCTTGTGTTGCTGAAGGTATTAAAATTGCACCATGTGGTCCTGCAGGAGTGACTGGGAAGTGAATGCAAAGCTGAGGATCCCCAAAGACTGTGTATCTTAAAATGCAAGCAGGGAGACGGAAATAAACCCTCCTGTGATTTTTAAAGCAGTTCTGAGACTATTAGGGATCCCTGCTCAGAGGTTGTGAATAGGATCTTTTACAAAGAGCATTTTCCTAATTTCCTATTCTGTGTTTAATAATTCCAAGGAAAGATTTGAGATTTAACATTACAAGTGGGTTGACAGATTAAGGAGGCAGAAACAATTCCCTGCTCTACTTGCAGTGCTGCCTGCAGATTGACCTCGTGTAAATGGGTGCAGAGGTTAAACTGAGTGCTCCTGTTTTGCTGATTCTCATCTTCGGCTGCTGAGCTGCGGTCTGCCAGTCCCCTCTGCTGGCTGTGGCGTGCTGAGGGCTGTGCTGCACTGCATGTTGCATGATGCCAGCACGGAGGACTCAGCCTCATCTCTGCTCCACTGCTTCAAGCACCTGGCACCTTTCTTACAGGGCAGCAGCAGGAGAAAGAGTACCAAAAAAAGGAACCAACTGGGTAATCTTAAAAAACAAAACAAAACAAAACAAAACAAAACAAAACTTCGAAACCAAGGCATTCTTCTCGGAGCAGATAAGCTCCCTACTGGGAATGTACAACCAGATGTTAAGTTTGCTGAGGTCGCGGCCAAATTTAATGGCCTCTGTGTTCCATAGGAGCCACGGTGCCTGCTCCCACCCTGACATATCACTCAGCATCCCAGCAGCCCTCTGCTGCACACCGGATTGCTGGCTGATCCTGCAGTGCGGACAGGGGTTGCTCAGGGCAGTTTTGCAGCTGGGTGCAAGGAGCTGAGAAGGGCAGCGGCAGCAGCAGGGCTGGCATCAGGCAGCAGCTCCTGATGGCTCACTGCCAGCCAGCCAGCATGTCTGAGACGGAAACCCCAGTGAAAAGGCTGATAACAACCCATGCTTGTGGCCAGAGGCCCAGCGGCCCTGCACGGGAGGGCAGAGCCCAGGGGAGTCTGCACCAAGTCCAACACGGAGCCTCCGTGCTCTGACACACTTTGCAGCATTGCTCTGCGTGCACAAATTCCCTGGTGCCAAGAAGCACTGTACACCAGAGCAAGCATGGGCACTGCAAAAGGATGTAGTAGAAAAACTAAAGGTTTATTTTTATTATTATTTTTTAATAAAATACATTCTTACAAAATAACTCTTTCCCATGCTGAGGGGCTGAGCATGGTTCTCACTGGCTCTCCTTCCACCCCCTCTCCTCAATCTGGATCTGCTCAAGGCTGCAGGGGCTTGGGGTGCAGGACACCTCAGCACAGGTCCAGCACCCCACACAAGGCTGGTGGAGGTCCCATGGGTGCCTTAGTGAGAGCAGGTCCCCAGTGGCCCATGCAGGTGCCACCTGCTCCAGTGTCCCAGCAAGCCCTGTGCCCAGAATTCCCGTGAGTCGACATCGGACGCTGCTCCTGCTGCCTTGAAGCTGGTGATGGGGATGACGACTGCATTTTGGAAGAGGAGAAGGAAGAGGGTGCAGGTCTATCAGGCAGTGTGGATGCTGCAGATAAAGGGGCACAGTGGGTTTGGGTGTTCTGTCCTCACAGCTGTTTTTCTTCCCAAGGCTACCCCTGAGACCCATCACTCCCGACCTGGGGAAACCCTGCTCACCTCTCACTGTGCACTGTCCAGCTCCTTCCCTTTCTTAGTTGACTTTGACTAGGAGT